CCCCCCTCATCATACTATGTGACATCACCCACATACCAAAACACAATGCAGAGTGCCAAGATGGGAGGGTCCTGGGCTTGGCCTGGCCCAGCACCTCCCTCATCATACTATGTGACATCACCCACATACCGAAACACAATGCAGAGTGTCATGATGGGAGGGTCCCGGTACTGGCCTGGCCCAGCACCTCCTTCATCACACCATGTGACATCCCCAACATACCAAAACACAATGCAGAGTGCCGCAACGGGAGGGTCCTGGGCCTGGCCTGGCTCAGCACCTCTCTCACCACACCATCTGATATCACCCACATACCGAAACACAATGCAGAGTGCCACGACAGGAGGGTCCCGGGCCTGGCCTGACCCAGCACCTCCCTCATCATACTATGTGACATCACCCACATACCAAAACACAATGCAGAATGCCATGATGGGAGGGTCCTGGGCTTGGCCTGGTCCAGAACATTCCTCATCATACCATGTGACATCACCAACATACCGAAACACAATGCAGAGTGTCACGATGGAAGGGTCCCGGTACTGGCCTGGCCCAGCACCTCCCTCACCACCCCATGTGACATCACCAACATACCAAAACACAATGCAGAGTGCCATGACAGGAGGGTCCCAGGCCTGGCCTGGCCCGGCCCAGCACCTCTCTCACCACAGCATGTGACATCACCAACATATTGAAACACAATGCAGAGTGTCACGACGGGAGGGTCCTGGGCCTGGCCTGGCCCAGCACCTCCCTCACCACGCCATGTTACATCACCAACATACCAAAACACAATGCAGAGTGAAACAATGGGAGTGTCCCTTGCTTGGCCTGGCCCAGCACCTCCCTCACCATGCCGTGACATCACCAACATACCGAAACACAATGCAGAGTGCCACAATGGGAGGGTCCCTAGCCTGGCCTGGCCCAGCACCTCCCTCACCACGCCATGTGACATCACCAACATACCGAAACACAATGCAGTGCCATTACGGGACTTTTATCAGAATTTCTGGACTCTGGTGCTTCCCTTCCTGCCGTGCTCCCAGCGGACACTACAGAATGACAGGACTCGGCAAGAGGATGACTCAGCTGACCGAGGCTGAATACCCCGGTCTCGTAAACGAGGCGATTTATTGGCTGCAACAGCCCGAGGTCCAGGAGGATGCAGCAGGTAGCCCTGGACAGCGGAATACCCTCTGGTCCGCTGTTGGAGCTTCCAGAGGTGCCCCCGACTCCGTCACAAGAAGCGGGAGGGAAGAAAAAGCGGAAAAGCCGGAGACGTAAGGAGACACCAGAGGTGTCTTCGTAGGGGCTGTCTCCATCTCCGCTGCCTGCCCTCTTGCCTGTTGGGAGGAACCTCTCCTAATTCTGAGTCCGGCGGTGTTTGTGCCTGACGCCGCCACCGCTTCCCTGCAGCCACCCGACATTTGTCTGCCTGCAGCCACCGCTGCTTGGTTAACGCAGGAGCGTGCGCCTCACACCGCTGGTAGCGCCAGCAGCTCACCCCTTCCGGGGAATCAGCCAGGCTTTTAAAGGGGCCAGGTTTGTTGGAGATGCTATCCGGCGGGTCCCCAAGATCCCCAAACGAGCGGCGCCCGCTGCCAAGGCGCAAACCCCTGCTCTGCCCCCTGAGCTATCTGCTCCAGTTCCTGCTCTGCCCCCTCATGTTTCTGCTCCCGTTCCTGCTCTGCCCCCTCAGGTTTCCCTTCCTTTCCCTTCCTGCTGCTTGGTTTTGTGCCCCTTGTGTCTGCTCCTCGTCCCTCTGTTTCTCCTTAGTTCACTCTGGGTCCCTTTGTTCCTCCCGTTGATGTTTCCCCTGAGTCTCCTTTCTTGGTGCCCCTGTGCCTGTCTGCATTCCCTGTGGTTTGTCAATGGTTGTCCAGCTTGTAGTCCCTGTGCCTGTTCTGTGTGTTGGTCCTGTTCCTTGTGCCCCGTTAATGTTTATTCTTTTGTTTTCCAGGTCTCGTGTCCCCAGTCTGGTCCCTTCGCTTCCCTTAGGCGCGCCCGGAGTGCGCGCCTTTTGGGAGGGGGGGGGGCAGTTCTGTCACGCCCTGCTCGTCCGATCCTCTCGTGTACCACGCCCCCCTCGTTAACCTCGTGTGAAATCCCGATGTCACCAGCTGTTTCCTGTTATTTCCAATTGATCCTGTGTATTTCAGTCCGCGTTCGAGTCAGTTTCCCTAGTCCTGTCATTAACGTCTTTGGGTCGCTAATGTCTCATTGTGCTCCTGATTGTGTCCTGCCCTTATTAAAACCCGAGTTTTATCAGAATTTCTGGACTCTGGTGCTTCCCTTCCCGCCATGTTCCCAGCAGACACGACATCTCCCCCCCCCCCCCAACCCCCGCCACAATAATACCATTGACCTTAACTAATGGATAATGAAGGGAAATAAACAGAACTCGCTCTATTACCTCACCCCCCACCAAATATCCATGAATTATCAAAATGCGACTAAAACATTCAGAAAAAGCCCAAAAGTAAACTCTCTTTTAAACTGATAGCACTTGAACAGAATAAAGTAAGATAACGCTCTGGTCTAACAGACAGCAACGGCCTAACGGCAGCCTCTGTACAATTTCCCACATCTGCCAGTGAGACATTACATTTGTGTCAGTGAATGAATTTGCACTTACGTCACTCCCAATACACACAGACTCTGTGATACCAGCCTCAGACACAGATGTAATCCTTGAATGAACAATTTCCCCAATACCTTCCTCTCCGACAGTGTTTTCGCTGATTACGCCTCTAACTTCAGATGAATAGCCAGTGTCCTCCATGCAGTTGTTCAACCCATTCCCCAGTCCTACAGTGGGTTTCACCATCAACTACTGGTTCACCATAACCCAGTTCACTACCAGTAAACTAAAAAAAAACACTAACAGTAAAATTGCATTAATTTATTAATTGTAGCGCATAGTCAGATTTGCATTTCATTTACTTGGCCAGATAAGCCAAACATCAGTATACTCACATCTGCAATTCAAAACATGTAGACACCTTGTTCCTCCACTGGGGCACTTCAGCCATTCCATGTATTCATTAAATTTCACCACCAGCTCAATTAATTCATTATATGAATTTATTAAAAATGTTTATACATACGAGAATTGCTGAAACACAAGTGTTTTGGATGGTTGCCTCAAATAGTGGAGAGACTTTACATTTAAAACATAACATTCATAACAAGTTACCAAAATTCGACATGAAAGTGTAAGCTGACAACCGGTAGAGGGTGTGCCCTTGTGTCCGAAGCTGCCTGGGACAGGCTCACAGTTACCCTAAGTAAGATACGTGGTTAGACATATAGATGGATGCATAGATAATAATGTACTTCACTCACCCAAGTGCTGCTGGTCCAGGGAGAAATATGCGCTTATGTGAGTGGACTCCTACCTGCAGCAAACACATGCTGTGAGTTGTTCGTGATTGTCGACACCATGCCCGTCGTGTGTCTTGCTCGTGCGCGGGGCCAAGAAAGCCAATTAATAATTTTTCTTTCTTGTACGAACGCAGAATATCAACTCAGCCACTTAAATTGTCATAATCGGATATTATTTTTATTGTCATCATCATCAATAATAACAATATTGACGACAATTAATGCAGCAGAGCAGCAGTTAAATACGTAGAATTATATCAGGCATAAATATTGCGGTTATAGATGGGCGTTCCGTTCGTTAGGCGGTCCTCGCCGCGCGGAAGTTACGATGCAGTAGACCTATAAAATCTTGTTTTAGCGGCGCAAACGAACGAAAGTTGTTTCTATGTGTCACATCGCATTTCGTCTACGTCTTACAAAGAATTCACGGAATTAATTGATGTTACCCACCGCAGGTTTTTTTGCTAGATTTGATTGCCCTTTCCATGCTCATGGTTTCTGCCAGCGACCCTTTTGCCATTTTAAACATGCCAAAGACGATCTCCTATGCCTATCGCCGAACCGGAAGCGAGCAGGTTAGTACTGTGGTGAATTTTACTGTCAAGTTAACTGAAAGTTGCAGCTATGTTTCAAACATTTTATTGGCATTTGTAAGCTTTTCAGACTTAAGAACATCAAATAATGAATCACATTCTCTGTAGGCATATAAGACTGTGTCTCTCTTTAGGCCTGATATAGGAACCTCACAAAGCATTACTTGATAAAGGCTTTTAAACCATGGACTTGGTGTATACTGCTTTTGTTGTAAAATCACTGTTGGGCCTAAAATATTTGGTCCCTTTCTTGTTTTCAGGGCCTGAAAAAGTTCCCCCTCCCCTAAAGAAAGGAACCCATCATAAACTATATGTAGCTTCAGAGAAGGATCCTTGCTTTTTGGAGCTGGAACGGATAAACAAAGAGATTGAGACTGTCAAGTGTGAAGTGGAGAAGGAACAGCGGAGGTTATCTCGCTACAAGACTCTTCAGGAAGACATTGTTGGTAGCTGCTCAAGCAAAGCTTTGAATCCCCACAATGGCTCCAAAGGTAAAGAGTGTAATGCCAAGAATGTCAGTTCTGCTCGCACACCAGTGTCTGCTGTAGTCCATACACCTGGTAGCAAGTATGTGGTGGATAGCTCACGGCCAAGAACAGATTTGGAGTACGACCCCTTGTCCAATTATTCTTCGGACCTAAAACCCAGCAGTGCTGCAGAATGCAGAGTGCAAAACTGTGGTCAAGAAGTGACACCAAGTCTTAAAAGGATGAGGGAGAACCTTGGTGAAGACCAAAGGAGGGCCAGACCTGAAGAAGATAACTCTGATGATGATGGAGTTCTTGTAATAGATATTCCTCCTTTGGAGGAAAGCCGAAAGAGGTCTAGACCCCCAAAGTTATGTAGTGCAGTCCCAACGGTATTGAAGGAAAATTCTGAATGTATCATATCTGTATCCTCCCTGCCTGAATTGTGTGATGTTCCAGTCTTTGAAGCAGAGATCTCCACATGTAACACTGCCTGTGTGAAATCAGAAGGGCATCACTGCACTGACATTTCACCTGCCACCGATGCCAATACATCTGGGAAAACCAACATCACAGATGTGTTTGAGGATATATCAAAGTGTCTAGAAAATCTCAGAAGTGAAAGTAAAAAAAACAATCATTTGCCAGAACTTGAGCCTATTCTAGGAAACTCAAGTTTTTGTGCTTCCGATTCCAGAATGAATTTCTCTCCTGCAAATGATGGAACTGTACCAGGTGATCAGACAGGAGTGCAACTGAGCTCCATGGAGACCCAAAGTATGCTTTCTAATCCTTCTGAACAAGGGAGTGGTGTACAGCCGAAAACGACTACATCCCGTGTTCTTCAAGAAAGTAGTCCCCCTGTTCCCTCACCTGTCACACAACAACCCAATGAGCAGCAAGGCTTTGAGCAGGGAACCCCTCTTGATGAAAACTCACCTGTGCTGCATGTGTCAGTGGTGCCTTGTGCTCGAAAAATGGCAGCACAATTATATTTGACCGGAAAGGCTGATCACCAGAGCAGTAGTCAGTCAGCAGTTCCCACCCACCAGCATGAGCAACATGCAGTTCCTCATAATATTGTATATGAGCCAGTTCCAGGACCTTCCATAAGCACCTCAAGGGCAATTTCCAGTACATTCAATCTATCTGCTTCAGTGTTTGATGAAACCAGAATACAAGAAATTGATCAAACTAACAAATCAAATTTGAGCTCTGAGGAGGAATATTTGGACATGGAATTTTCGGACAGTGACCCGATGGAAGAGTGTTACAGGATATTCATGGAAGCCAACCAGACAGAACCAGCGGACCCAGTTCCAAGCAATGTTTCTGTAAGTCCTAGAACAACCTCCAGCTACAACGGGCCATGTCATATGCTGAAATTCCTCTTCTCTTTGTCAGGTTGAAGCTGTTGATCTAGACCGGTCAGAGATGAAGAAACCCATCCCTGTGCCAGGCTCAAAGAAAAGGGTTGCACATGTGTCCAAGCATGAGGTACAGCAGGTTGATTGTGTGTGAACCATAATCTCAAGATGGAGGCCAGTGAATAATGTACAAATCACTGATCAGTACTTTTCCCATTGGATCTGAACACATTGCCTGATAATTTCATGGGGGAATCTTTGATTTTCATGTTACATTGCTAACTAACCTCAAAAATTGGATTTTTACATTTAAGTAAGGCTGTAAAATGAGTTCTGTTTAGAGTTTGTGATTAAATTTCCATGATGCTGTGGTTCTAGAACCAGCTTTGTTTCCTTGCATGTTTCTATAGTAATGCCCAGTGTGATAAATTATAATAAAGCAAGTATCTGCTAAACTGAGGCACTGGGCTCTACGCGGGGGCTGGGTGTGATTGTACAGTTTGTAAATAACTTGCAGTAGACAATGAATCGTAATTCAGGATTCTGTGGGTTTGCTCTACAGGTAACTAAAACCAGGCCACAGGTGATGGTTCCGTTCCAAAGAGTAGTTCCCTTGCTAGCAAACCCTCCCAAACTGCAGCAGTTGCAGCAGAAGGCCGCTGTACTGACCGCTGCAGTCAAAGGCGGGCAGGCCTATGTGGCAGCCACCAGTGGACAGAAAAAACAGGAAAACCTGCCTTCTGCTCCTTTGCCAATTCCTGTTCAACCAAGTAAGTTTTAGCGTTTTTGTCCCTACTGCAGGATTGACTTGAAACCTTGAATGGTCGCTTCGCTCTGAAGTAGTGAATCGCTTGGAACTCGGGGCGCCACCACATCACCACTAGCTACTAGTAGTGAATTGCATAGCACAGTGGGAACCACAGCATCACCTCAAGCTGCTAGTAGTGAACCGCTTGGCAGTCACAGCCGCCGCATTGGCTGCAAGCTGCTAGTAGTGAACCGCACAGCAGTCGGAGCCGCCGTATCAGGCACAAGCTACTAGTAGGTTGCAGGGAGCCCATGATTAGCATACTGCCTTTTAAATACGTTTATTTAACTTTTTGCCTCGTGTTGCAGACCCCCATTCCGCTAATTTGGTATTCTGCTATGCCTGGCCTTTTTGTTTTGACAGCACAATATGTGATTTAAAGTTGTACTTGTCTGGATGGTATAATTGCGCAGTAGTAGTTCAGTACTTTCTCTCTCTTTTTTTTTTTTTTATTTTGGCGTGAGTAAAACTCAAACCCTGCACTCCCAACTTTTGCCTCACCAGCCTGTCTGAATATCCTGCCAGTTGGAGCTGCCCTCCAGTGGGGCAATGTGCACCTTATCATTCCGGATGGTACCATTGCTCTACCCCTGACTCAAGTTCCAACACCACCCACCACCCCATCTGCTCCACCCACTGTACCTGTGCCTCTGCACACCACCCTGACCCATGCCAAGGTTGACCGTCCAATGATGCATGACATTTATTGCCCATACGTACTGTATGTTCATTATGGTTGTATAAACATTGCGTATGTATGTGGCCTCTCACAGCCAATTACAGTCAAGCGAAAGTCAAAGTGCCGCCCAGAGGCCAGTAGCAAAGTTCCGCATGATGTTCGACAGCGTTATGTCAACTTATTCGTTGAGGAGTTCTTGAGGACATCCTTTACTGTTCAAGATGCCTTTGAAAAGGTCTGGGCCTGTGTCATTTCTCGTTGGTCATGCTGAACAAAACATGATTTTCTTCTGTAACTGCTTAAGGGAATATCCAGGTGTATCCATGGTGTAAGCTGACCCCAGTGTTTAATGCTTTGGTTTAGGCACTGGCAGAGGAAAAGACCATTTATGACAGAAGTGTCAACAAGCTCAAGTATCTGAGTATAGCTGTAAATGTACTGAAGAGATTGAAGAACCAGAGTACTCCCCCTGCCAAAGGTGTGTGCGTGTGTGTGTGTGTGCGTGTGTGTGTGTGTGTGTGTGTGTGTGTGTGTGCGTGCATATCTGTCTGTCTCTATGTATCTGTGTCCGTGACTTGAAAAAGCACATCAGCTTATTTACAGGAGTAATTTAACATATTTGCATTTTTAAGCTGTCAGTAAACTTGAATATTATTCATTCCTGTAAAGGAAGTGTGTTCTCAGCCAAAATCTGACATTGACAAGAGAGTGTTATTACATGCAGCTCATCTGGTTTCAGATAGTGTTGAATCCAATATTCCTGGATCAAGAGGCCATGTTTCTTTCAATCCTCTAGTTCTGCAGGCTAATGGTAAGAGCCAAGAATGAAACGAAACTTTTTTTTTTTTTTCTCCATTCAAACTTGTATAATATATATGATGATCCATGTAGCATTTGTATTAACTTCATATCACACTTTTTCCCCCAGACCCAGGAGAGGCCAATTTGTACACACAGCTGAAAGAACATGTCTTGTCTGAAATACTGCTGAAGGAGAACAATTACCCCCTCACCCATCCAGAGATACCTGGAAAAGCCATACAACAGGGGAGTATTAGAAAAGGAAGCACTGACCGTAAGTATGGATGGATGCATGCATGGATTGATTGATTGATGGTGCCTAATATTGACTACTGTAGACACCCTTGGATATTAAAGCTGTTTAACTCTTGAAAGTGCATTTTGAATTTCACGGATGTTGCCATTGAAACAGCACTGAAGAGGATCTGCTGTCGATGTGGGGCTACATACTCGGTCAGCCCGAGCGGGATCCACACCAGGAAAGAAGAGTGTAACTATCACTCGGGGAAAGTGGTGCAAAACAAAGGCAAGTCATTCTACTTGGTGTAGGCCACTCATTTGGGGTCCCACGGGCAGGGAAGAGTCTGATGTC